ATAGGTCACTACTAAATGAATAGAGGGATATGAAATATAGTACTGGAATAAAGCTGTATTAGAACACAGGCTTCAACGTAGGTTTCAATCCCAATAATGACCCCTTATGTCTGATCTAACCTTTACCACGCTTCTGGATATAAACTAAAGGAGTACTATGTCTCCAATAACAACAAGGTACATGAAAGCCCAATGTGGAACCCTCCAAATTCAGCTATCTAAGCGATAAAGGACCAGGTCCCTAAAAATAGAGACAGTCTGGGACTAATAATAACCAGAGCAAAAATACATATAGATAGAATAGAGAGAGGATACATAGAGTGAAAAGTCAGTTTCAAATAAACTGGCAGTGTAGTTTATAAAGCCTCTCTCCTTGTAAAACTATCTAGACAGGTATAGTAGCACAGAAGTAAAATGAAAAGAAATATTCAAAGCATATTTGAACATAAGAGTGCTTAAATCAAAAAGTGCCCAGTGCCCATATTCAAAAATGAAAGGATAAACGCCCGACACGCGTTTCGGTGCTTGTATGCTGCACCTTCATCAGGGGACAACAGATTAGTAGTCAGGCCTCACTTAAATTAAAAAAGATTAGGTACCTGTGGCCAATGGTGTCCGTGAGGAAATCACCCCCAGGTGCGACTGCTGTCAACGCTCACGCGGTCTATTTCTGCAAAGTAGCTTACACGTAGATACCCCACGTGGTCACAACTTGAAAGTCTCTGATTGGCTCTATTCCAAAAAAACACTCTGGGATACGCCCCACAAGTTTGGGACTATTCGTTTCTTAACATGAAACATGTTGTGGCGTCCAGCCCCCATGGGCGTGATTAGACACTTACTCCATAGCGAACTAGGTCTTGTGGACTCTTGTGGATTCAAACTCACACGACTTCTAGGCATCATATTAGCCATCAAGATGAATCCATATAATGTACCAGGCTTAATTATGTGTCTAGTAGTGTATATAAAGTGTGATCCTGTGTATACACTCTAAGTTGCATATAGATGGATCTAACATCCACATAATGTGCAATCTAAATAGGAGCACGTTTCGGTGCCTAAAACTATGCACCTTCGTCAGGGGCCAACATGAGACTAATATCTGGTCCCTTAAATACTAAGTTTGGCAGACGATATGAATACCTGTAACCAATAGGGTTTAGAGAAATACCGCCTCATGTGAGTCCGGTTGCCGTGATAATTGCGGTCATATTCTGGGGGACCACGTGGTGTACGTGGGGGAGTGGTCTCCTACCGTACCACGTGACTCGACATGCCGGCTCTCAACATCGAGACTACATAGGATGGCATCACCCGTAAGTGAAGTTTACTCTATGGTATTTAAAGTATGTTTCGTATCTCTTAGATACGATGGAAGTTCAACAACCAATATCCGCAGGATCTGGTCCGCATATAAACTGGCATTCTGAGTCAAGTTGCCCTTACCTGAGACAATTGGTCTCCCACTTAGTTCTGGTTTTTGTTTGTGTACTTTTGGGAGGGCATAGAATGTTGCAGTTATAGGATTTTTGACCAGTATAAAATTATATTAATCTTTAGAGATTAAAGACATAGTCAGGGCTCTATCCAGAATATTTTTGAGTTCCACTAAATAAACGTGTCACTATCTTGAATAAGATTATGTACCATCGAAACATAGTCAGATTTATTCAAGATAACTGTATTCCCACCCTTGTCAGATGGTTTAAAGATCACCTCATCCAGTGCCTTCAGATGTTTAAGAGATATTTGTTCCTGTGGGATAATATTGCTTCCAAGTTGGATCAAAAGCTATTTCTGATTAATTTTGTCTGTTCCTTTATCACTTAGCTGAATTTGGAGGGTTCCACATTGGACTTTCATGTACCTTGGACAGTTGTTATTGGAGACATAGTACTCCTTTCGTTTATATCCAGAAGCGTGGTAAAGGTTACACCAGACATAAGGGGTCATTATTGGGACTGAAACCTACGTTGAAGCCTGTCTTCTAATAAAGCTTTATTCCAGTACTATATATCATACCCCTCTATTCATTTAGTAGTGACCTATTTCTGTCTTTACCTTGGAGGTATAGTGGTATAAGTTAGATTTTTACATACTTTATCTTTTTTTCATTAATTTTTATGGTCTCATTTTCTTTGGGTATATCTAGCCATTTTTTATATTAATATTTAGTTCCTACGTGGCTATATTTACATCCAGGTGATGCATACGGTCTCCTGTCTTGATTTACATTGATACTACCTAGCATCTTTCATTCCTTTTGTTTACTATTATATTACTACTAATATTTACTATACTATTTAAATTGGTGACCAATAGGCTGTTGTCTCAAAGCATTTTCACCTTGTGTCTTACAATGAGCAAATCAGACTAGGAAAGCAGTGAGCTATGTGTTCACCCGTCACACTGGCAAATGTGATTAGCTTTAGTAATAATAATTAGGAAATAATAATGGCAACATATATGTATGGTGTATTATTTATTATTTTACACTTTTAATAACAAATACACCTTTAAAATTCATTTTCAAAGTACAGTTTGACACAGAATAGACACACAAAGGTGCACAAGCCATTGATTTCAGTGAGACTTTGACCTATGTATCCTGTGCACACAATTCCAAAGTTCTAGTGAAAAGATTTTATAAATGATTCTCTACAGACAATGTACCTGCCATCGTACACACAACTTAAATAAATAAAATAACACTAAAAGTCATCAATCATTAGCAGAATTTCTGACAAATCTATTTGCTAAAAATTTTTTATTTAAAAATGTGCCCCCTCTCTTGTCAATCAGTTGTCATGATATACTTCATGTCTTAGGCACAGATACTGTATCTCATACTTTCTGTGATATATAAGATTGAAGTGCACATATGATGTGCTATCAATGAAACAAGCATGTTCGTGCAATTACATTGGTTGGCCTGATTGGCTAATCTTGGCCAATAAAATCAGAGAGTGTTGTGACAGGTTCTCTTGAAGCTTGAAGGATTTCTAGAATAATAATTATAATAGTTTATTTGTTAATTAAAATAGAATAACATAAATCCCTCCAGGGACAGTGAGAGCCCTCGGTCCTTGTATGGTGTTTTTCTGGTCTCTAATCTCATGGCAGTGCACTTTCTTTTCTCCTTTTTAGTCTTTTTCTATTACTCTCTATACTTTTCATATTTACTCTTGAAAGGTACCTTTCTCTTAAAATACAGGTGAGTGAAGCATGCCAACCCACACTTTGTTCTTGCACTTTGTCTTAAGTGTTTGGTTTTAGAACAATTTAAAAAAAGCATTTTGTAACTGGAACGTTTATTTGGCAGACATACACTCACTGACACACACACACACACAGACAGAAACTCACTGACAGACATTCACTCACTGACACACACACACACACACACACACACACACACACACGACAGACAGACACTCAAACACACACTCACTGACAGACATCCACTGACTCACTCACTGACAGACAGACAGACATACACACACACACACACACACACACACACAGGCAGACACTCACACACACTCTCACTGACAAACACTCACCTCCCTGGGGTCCAGTGGGGGGCAGCTCCTCACTCTTCCAGCATGCTGTTTAGTATGTCAGGGCCAAAATGATGTCATATTCCATCTCCCGGCATCCCAGAGGGCGTGCGAGGGAGGAGTGAGAGACTTCAAGAACAGCCTACCTCGCCGCCTTCCTTCTCTGCCCCCCTCTCCTCTGGACACTGGGATTTGTTGGCAGAGCAGGCACCTGCCATTAAGGTAAGCAGGTGCCTGCTCTGCCTTATGTAGCGCTCGCCCAGCACTGCGGACCCAGACAGGGGCAGTCAGCTCACCTGTGAGCATCCTGGTCCTGACACCTATAATGTGCAAGGAGTGACTAAAACATAATACTAACTGGGATCCTACATAAAAGTTCTGTTTTCTGCCCCCAATGATGGTGATTACTGTCACATGGCCCATAGTTGGTGGGAAGGAGGCTGACCTGCAGTTCTCTCCAAATACCAGTGTAACAGAGGATTCCGTTACAAATATAATTACTGATCCCAATATACTGAGCCCATTGATAAATGTAAAAATGCTATATGTCCGAGTTTGCACAGGATAATTATTATAGCTGTTTGAGTTTCACAATCTATTAACAGAGTACACTTCTTGACAAATTCTTTGCTCTTTCTGAATCCAGTTTTTCCACATCTTGACTAGTTATCAATCTCAAGAGCAGTGTTTGAACAAAATGCAGGGATTTCATAGATATGTACAGTCTCTTGGAGCACAAAACGTGAATTGCAGTTACATTGTTAAAATTAATGACTCCTTGATTGTACACAACCTGCAAAGAGTTGGCAAGAAAGGAAGGAGATTAAGAGGGGAGATATAGGAAAAGGGTTGAATGTAAACAAAAGCAAGCGTTATTGCCTGGGCCAGTCACATACAGTTGCATTGCTATTTCATCATATCAATATTACATGCTATGTAAAGATACATTTGAATTGTAGCCACCTTGTCATGTTATAAAGTACTTTGTGTGAATTATGGGAATTCAAAGTGAATAAAACATGGATTTTAAATGTAAGCCTGAAATAGTTGAACTGTAAATGTTCTCTAAATCTGCTATGCTTCCAGTTCAGCTCTTTTGGTGTAAAATGTGAAATCCACCTTTTTTCTTGGAATTCTCAACAACTCTCACTTTATTAAATAACCATGTTCTCTGTTCCTTTTTTACTGGCATGTCTGCATTGTTCCCCAAATGTATTGCACGGCAGAATACGTTGGTGCTTTCTAAGTTCTAAGTAATAAGTACATCTAAATATAATAATATTAAATGGCTTATAATAAGCTCTTTGTGAAAATGACTATTAAACATTGAACATGAGAAACAAGTCAAATTTGCACATAGTGTCACCTGTGTCATGTCTTTTATTTGCTTGCCTATTACGTGATTAACGTATTCCTTTGAAAATTTCTGCTTTTCAGTGATATTTCCTTACTGTTGCATACGCCCTTTTCTTCTTTGTAAGGAATGTTTTCTTTGATTACACTCACACCTTACAAAGAAATTTGTAATTTGACCCACCCATGTCCAGCACTGCACCATAAACTCCCTCCCTCCCTCTTTTGTCACACCTCCTGCACTATATATACACAATATATACTTCCCAACAGTCACTTTCAAGTGCAAACACTACTCTAAAGCGATGGCATCCAACTCTATCTTTCGACTCCAGCTGAATGATGGAAACAAGATTCCAATTATAGGCTTTGGTACCTACGCTCCAGAATATGTAAGTACTGAAAAATACAGAATTCACAAAAAGAATGAAGATGTTTATTCTGTGAAATATACAAATGCAGCATTATAAAAATTGCAAGTTTCAGCAATAGACGAGACTATTTATGAAAAAACATTTTCCACTTTATTGATTCTGCTCCTATGTGAAGACATTTTAATAGCTATTCTTCATGTTTAGAAGTTCAATTAAAGAATGCAAGCATTATCCACAAAACAAGAGGACCTGGTTGACCTAGCATAAAAAAGGAACTAGTGCCACTTATTTAATGTTTTTGGTTTGTTTGTTTTTTAGCCCTAATCTACATGGACTTCAATTCAGTGTTTGCATATTTTTTTTAAAAACCCCGTCGACTCATCCTCTCAGTTATGTAATTACAAAAAAAATATTATTTAACAGGCAAGAGGCAGAGTTCTGAATAGTAAACGAATATAGGATAGAAGAAGCCATAAAGTCTAGTCTTGGGCTGAATCTCCTAGTCTTTTTGCCACTTAGCAACACCCAGGTTTCTGCTGTTGATTCAAAACAAGGAGAAAAACATTAGGTTTTTTGGACCCAGGACTCGAACACAGACATATCACTGTATGTTCATGTTGGAGTTTGGTGTTCGACGATTTAATGGCGTGTTTTCAAAGGCTGCAGGGCTGCCAATTAACAAGCGTTTGAATCGTGTGCCCTTAGAAGCCATCACAGCCATGCCTACTAATGGCATGGCTGTTATTGGCCAGTGCAGCATATGACCCAGCCTCTATATATAAGCTGGAGTTGCGTAGCGCCGCAGGCACATGCGGTCTTATTAGAGGATGATGCCGCTGATAGGGACAGCTTAGGAAAGAATTCTGCAAACTAGTACATTAGTGGGGTCGGGTGCCCTTCATATCTGAGAGTCAAATAGAAGCTTCAAATACCGCGGTTACATCGGAGTTGTAAGAAGTAAAAACATTTTGGTGCTAAATAGTACATTAGTGGGGTGTACTTCATATCTGAGAGTCAAATAGAATTGTCAAATACTGCTGTCACATTGCAGTTTTAAAACTTAAAATTTTTTGGGTCCTAAATTGCTAAATAGTATTTTAGTGGGGTGCACTTCATATCTGAGAGTCAAATAGAAGCGGATCATAGTGTGCTTACAGCGCAGTGGTAAACATTCTTATTTTCTGGGTGCTAATCTGCTAAATAGTACATTTTGGGGCGTGTGCTTCATATCTGAGAGTCAAATAGAAGCGTCTAATAGTGCGCTTACAGGGCAGTGGTAAACATTCTAATTGTTTTGCTGCTAATCTGCTAAATAGTACATTTGCGGCCTGCGGTGCACTTCATATCTGAGAGTCAAATGGAAGCGTCTAATAGCGTGCTTACTGCGCAGTTTTAAACATTCTAATTGTTTTGCTGCTAATCTGCTGCTTACATTGGAGTTTTTAAAAGTGAATTTTTTTTTGGTGCTAAATAGTATATTTGGGTTGTTCACTTCATATCTGAGAGTCAAATCGAAGAGTAACTTTGATTTGAATTTACTACATCGGTCACTTGTAATATTGTTTCACACCTACAACACTTGTTACACAGATCTAAGTGATAGAAAACAGATTGATATTTTCTACACTAGAAACTACCAGATACCAAGCTGCTATATTCAAACCAGTGATCAATAGCTAAGAGGTACTTCAACAATATTGTAATTCTTGGGCAATACTTTTACAAGTCAAACTGAGGGGTCAGTTTATAGGGAAAACTGTTGCCTGGATACAATTCTAAAACAATTTCCATATGTGCTTTGCAGACTTTACATGCTGCAAAAACACAGGTGCCAACTCCTGTGGCTTTCTGCAGTGTGCATACAGGCAAGGAGGGCAGGGTTGAGGAGTGGGTGGAAGATGATGTGGAGGATGATGAGGTCCTAGACCCCACATGGAATCAAGGTCATGCGAGTGACGTGTGCAGTTTGGAGGAAGAGGCGCTGGTCGCACAGAGGCACCAGCACAGCATAAGAGGGAGCAGGGAGCAAAAGCGGAATGGCCGTCCCCTAGCGCTCGTCGGCATGTATTAGCTTGAGAATTACCAGTTATCCAAGTAATACATGTAGCGATCAAAGGATCCATAATAGACTTGAGCGAACCCGAACTGCAAAGTTCGGGTTCGTACCAGATTTAACGATCCAGTCGTAGTTTCACAGTGAGGTGGGCAGTCCGGACGACCAAGACCCAGTATGCCTAGGAGTCACAGTGGAGTCACAGTGTGGAATGGATTAGCAGGGTCTGGTGCAGGGCAACCGCACGCCCCCTGGTGTTGAGCACCAGCGTTTGTGCTGCCACATACCAGGACCCCGATGCAGCTTCAGTAAAAAGAGTACTTGATACCAGAAGCCATCACCATACTGATCCGCAACTTGGAACGGGATGTGACATTCACTGTAGCGGCTGTGCGCGCTTTTGGCGTTGTCACCCTGGTGCTGCTCGCCTGTCTGCGCTGCAGCGTAACTTTGACCTTCCTGCTCACCGCCTCTTGAGACTGTGCGAGCAGCAGCAGGCGATAATGGAGTTTCAGCTGCAGCACACATGGGTCAGTGGCTCTGCACCAGACTTCCCTCCAATTGATCAGAGTTAAAGGATTTCAAGTGGACTCATTTCAATTACAGGACCTCTAAAGAGTCCTGTATTGTTATTTTTTGTCACTACCTTCCCGCATCGGGAGTGGTTCATTTGCATGCCTGCTGCCTTCCTTGTATGTGTTAGCCATTTCTCAGGGTCCCTGTACGGAATGGAACCCTGATTCCCCGTTACCCGTGGTCACCATGGTAGGCGCAGAAACTGGCATTGAAAGTTGATATGGATGACATCCGCATGCAAAGTTGTCACCACGGGGATGTGCGATTTGCCCGAGATTCTCTAGAGTCAGCAAAGTTCCTGTGCAACTATAATGTCAACAGCTACTATGCGGAACAGAGAATATATATATATGTATATATTAATTGGCTACCACAATTAATATATATATATATATATATATATATATATGTATAAAAACAGTGTTTTACACGCTGTGCTGTAAAAATGAAACCATTTTATGGAGGCTGTGTGAGTGACAGACCTCGGATAGTTGTGTCACAAACAAAAACCATACATTTAACTCATAGATGGCATGAAATTGAGACTGCATGGAAATGATTTATACAGCAAAACCACTTAAAAAAATAAACACTCCAGGCAACTTAATCTAAATGAAATTATTATGTTGCCAGGAGGTCCTGGACACCGTAATACCTTAAGGAGTTAAACTGTTTACAAATGCTTTGATCACAATTTGCAAAGACTGCATCAGTTTGCACATCCTTCTGGCTATGGCCTGGGCATTTACTAGGAAGCCTCAGACTGGGTGCCACTGAAGCCTTGGACCATGACCAACAGGTACAGATGCAGAGCCCAGTCACTGTAAGATTATTAATTGCATTCAATTAATTGCATTGCAAATAAAGAAAATCAATAATACATGTTACTGTTTGTTTATTGCTTGAGGCAGGGCCGTCTTTAATATCGATTGGACCCTGGGCAAGCATTTGCTTGGGCCCCCTATACCTGCCCTTCCCCACTCCCCCGTGCCCCCCCATTCTCAACCCCCAGCTCCCTGGCATGCAATCAGGGCCTCCACCCCAACCTACTGATAGAACTAATGTAGAGAGGGCTGTGGTGCAAGAATTGTTTTCTCTCCAATAGCGCAAGAGTGTAGAAAAGTTAGATACCCATCTGTCGTACAACTTCCACGATGGGGATCCACCGTTTGGCCATTCTTGTAGGGTTGTATTTGTGAGCAGTGTTTGTGAATTTGAATGTAAGCATGTTTTTGTATAGAGTATATGTGTGCATATAGGGGTGTATTTGTATATACTGTTACTATTGAAATGCAGCTGTGTACTTTTGTGTAGTGTTTGTGTTTGAATGCAGGGGTGTGTGTTTGTATGTAGTGTTGGCTTTTAAATGAAGTTGTGCTTTTGTGTATTGAGTTGGCGTTTGTATATAATTGTAGTGTTTTATGTAACATTTGTAATTGCATGCAGGGATGTGTGTGGATGTAGAGTTGTCTTTTAAATGCAGATGTACATTTGTGTGTAGTTTAGTGAGTGAAGGGTGTGTTTGTATACAATTTTGGAGTTTGTATTAGGGGTGTGTTTGTATGTAATGATTGTGTTTGCTGTGGTGTGTTTGATTGCCTGGATATATGCACATACATACACAGACACATATAGCCAGATACACACACTGACACACACAGCCAGATACACAGACTGACACAAACACAGACACATATAGCCAGATACACACACTGACACACACGGCCAGATACACAGACTGACACAAACACAGACAGATACACACACAGCTAGATACACAGCCAGATATACACACAGCTAGGTACACTCACAGCCAGGTACAAACACTCACAGTCAGGTACACACATACAGCCAGATACACATGCACATACAGCCAGATATACACACTGACATACACACAGCCAGATACACACATTGACATACACACAGCCAGATATACACACACAGTCAGATATATACACACACACACACACACACAGCCAGATAAACACACACACACACACACATACAGCCAGATACACATGCACATACATCCAGATACACACACTGACATACACACAGCCAGATACACACATTGACATACACACAGCCAGGTACAAACACTCACAGTCAGGTAGATACACATGCACATACAGCCAGATACACACATTGACATACACACAGCCAGGTACAAACACTCACAGTCAGGTAGATACACATGCACATACAGCCAGATACACACACTGACATACACACAGCCAGATACACACATTGACATACACACAGCCAGTTATACACACACAGTCAGATATACACACACACACATAGCCAGATAAACACACAAATATAGCCAGATAAACACACACACATAGCCAGATAAACACACACATATAGCCAGACAAACACACACACATATAGCCAGATAAACACACACATAGCCAGATAAACACACACACATAGCCAGATAAACACACACATATAGCCAGATAAACACACACATATAGCCAGATAAACACACACACATAGCCAGATAAACACACACATATAGCCAGACAAACACACACATATAGCCAGACAAACACACACACATATAGCCAGATAAACACACACACATAGCCAGATAAACACACACATATAGCCAGATATTTTTCTCAGGATAAACAAGAGATTACTATGCAATAACAGCACTGGCCAGTAGGGGTCACTGTGTGTGGAGACAGGCAGGGATAGGAAGTTCCAGCAAATCCTTCCCTGTCTATCTATACTCACTGATCTGCAGTGGTGCAGCTACAGAGAGTCCAGACAGCAACTCCCACCCTGCAGAGACAGCCTACAGCTCAGGGAAGTAAGGGATGGGGGGAAGGCTGTAAGGAGACATACACTTGGAGACATTATGGCAGACACTGAGACACTAAGGGACATTGGTAGACATTATGACACAGACACATGGGGACACAGTGTCCCCATGTCTCCCAGTGTCCCCATGTCCCCTGCCAGTGTCCCTGGTGTCTCAGTGCCCCCTAGTCTCCCAGTGACCCCTAGTCTCCCACTGTCCCATGTATCCTAGTGCCTCCATGTCTCCCAGTGCCTCAAGTGTCTCAATGTCCCCATGTCTCCAAGCTAGTGTCCCTAGTGTCTGTGGCCCTGGTGTCTCAGTGTCCCCATGTCTCCCAGTGCCCACATGTCTCAATGTCCCCATGTGCCCCAGCCAGTGTCTCTAGTGTCTGTGTCCCCATGTCTTCAAGTGTCCCCTATTTTCCCAGTGGCCCCATGTGTCCGAGCCAGTGTCCACTAGTTTCCCACTGTCACTGGTGTCTCTGTGTGGTCTCCCCGTGTCCCCAGGTCTCCCTGTCTTCCTAGTGTCCTAGTGACACATATATGGGGACATAGACACATGGGAATACTGGAGGACACAGGGAGACATGGGGCATTGAGACACTGTGATACATAGGGACACTGGGAGACCTGGGGACACGACACTAGGGGACACTGGGAGACATGGGGCACTGAGGCACTGATACATAGGAACGCTGAGACCTGGGGTAATCAACACATGGGGGCACTGGGAAACATGGGGGCACTGGGAGGAATCCATCTATACAGCATAATCAAACTAAATAGTTTTTTGGTGATTTTACAGCATTTTCTCTTATGTCACTCCTTGTGATTTACATCATGTGATATCACCCATACATATTTAATTATGCAAATTAGTAAGGCCTGTATGTTTTTCCAAGAAAGGTGGCAACCCTAACTACTTTTCACATACTCTTACTTAAGTATGGAAACTTAAGAGGGATGTATGGGAACAAAACTTGTGTGGATTGGCTGACAATGAATATAGTTAAAGGGACACTATAGTCACAAGAACAACTACAGCTTATTGATTTTGTTCTGGTTAGTAGAATCATTACCTTTAGGCTTTTTGCTGTAAACACTGTCTTTTCAGAGAAAATGCAGTCTTTACATTACAGCCTAGTGATAACTTCACTGGCCACTCCTTACATGGCTGTTAGAGATCCTTCCTGGGTTATGGCTGCCTAAAATGCATCCAAACATTCAGTGTCTCCTCCCTCTGCATGCAGACACTGAACTTTCCTCATAGAGATTCATTAATTCAATTCATCTCTATAAGGAGATGCTGATTGGCCAGTGCTGTGTTTGACTCATGCTGACTCTGTCCCTGATTTGCCGTTTTGTCAGTCTCAGCCAATCCTATGGGATCAGGCAACCACTTCTAATGATGTCAGCAGACTGCTTGTTTTTCTGAGTCTAACAGCATGCAGAGTTACAGCTTCAGGCTTGAATACAGTAAGATTTTTACTATATTTATGGAGGCATGAGGGGCCCAGGGGGGTTAGATGGTGGTGTTAACACTATAGGGACAGGAATTCATGTTTGTGTTCCTGACCTTATAGTGATCCTTTAAGGTAATGCTAACTTTGGTCTCTCTAACACTGTGGCATGTTCTCTTTCTTCTACACTCACTACATACAGCTTTTCTCTGTCCCAGACTTTATACCAGGAGCGTCTGCCTGCTAGTAAGAAGGTAAGGAGACAAGTGGACCAGAGAGTGCTAGGGGACAGTGCTTAGAAAGCGTTGAGCAAGCGCATCATTAGATGCATTTATGCCAAACTCAG